GGAGATGAAAAGGCAATAGCACTTTGGGCAAAAATCGATGCTCAGTTATGTAGCATCTTGTGGCGATCTATTGATTCCAAGTTGATGCCCTTGTTTCGTCTATTCCAGACATGTTATTTGGTTTGGGCAAAGGCTCGTACCTTATACACTAATGACATATCTCGCTTCTATGATGTGATATCGCGGATGACAAACTTAAAGAAGCAGGAATTAGATATGTCTACTTGGGTCAAGTACAGGCAGTCATGGAGGAATTTGAGAAGTTGATTCCAGTTTCTGCTAGTGTTGAAAAACAACAAGAGCAACGACAGAAGATGTTTCTAGTTCTTACCCTTGCTGGACTTCCTAATGATCTTGATTCAGTACGCGACCGGATTTTGGCTAGTCCGATTGTCCCCACAGTTGATGAATTATTCTCTCGATTACTCCGCTTTGCTGCAGCACCAAGTCCACCAGTGATCTCATCACAGATACTTGATTCCTCTGTTCTCGCATCCCAAACAGTGGATGTTCGGGCGTCTCAAACTATGGAGAATAGACGAGGATGAGGTTGTTTCGGAAGATCTAGATCTAAGTGTTCTTATTTTCACAAACTTGGACACACTCGTGAAATGTGCTATTCCTTATATGGTCGTCCACCCAAAAATGCTTACATTGCTCAGACCGAGACTACAGGTAACCAGGGATTTTCTTTATCTAAAGAATAATATAATGAGCTCCTTCAGTATCGAGCAAGTAAGCAGACATCTCCACAAGTAGCCTCGGTTGCTCAGACTGATACTTCTATTGCTGGTAATTCTTTTGCTTGTGTTTTCCAGTCTAGTACTCTTGGACCATGGGTCATGGACTCAGGCGCTTCTGATCACATCTCTGGTAATATATCACTTTTGTCAAATATTGTATATTCACAGTCTCTTCCCACTGTTACTTTAGCCAATGAATGTCAAACTAAGGCAAAAGGAGTTGGACAAGCTAATCCCTTATCTTCTATCACCCTAGATTCCGTTCTTTATGTCCCTGGCTGTCCTTTTAGTCTTGCATCTGTTAGTCGTTTGACTCGTGCCCTCCATTGTGGTATATATTTTATTGACGATTCTTTTATTATGCAGGACCGCAGTACGGGACAAACAATTGGTACATGACATGAATCAGAAGGCCTTTACTACCTCAACTCACTCAGTCCTTCTACAACATGTCTAGTTACAGATCCTCCAGACCTAATCCACAGACGTTTAGGACATCCAAGTTTATCCAAACTTCAGAAAATGGTGCGTAGTGTTGAGAGTCATGCAAAGTCTGTTTTCTCCTTAGTTCATTCTGATATATGGGTTCCTAGTAGAGTCAGTTCAACCTTGGGATTTCGTTATTTTGTTAGTTTTATTGATGATTATTCAAGATGTACTTGGCTTTTCTTAATGAAAGATCGTTCTGAGTTATTTTCTATATTCTAGAGTTTCTGTGCTGAAATCAAAAACCAATTTGGTGTTTCTATTAGCATTTTTCGCAATGATAATGCCTTAGAATATTTATCTTCTCAGTTTCAGCAGTTTATGACTTCTCAAGGAATTATTCATCAGACATCTTGTCTTTATACCCCTCAGCAAAATGGGGTTGCACAGAGAAAGAATATGCACCTTATTGAGACTGCTCACACACTTCTAATTGAATCTCGTGTTCCGTTGCGTTTTTGGGGCGATGCAGTTCTCACAGCTTGATATTTGATTAATCGGATGCCTTCATCTCCTATCAAGGATCAGATTCCGCATTCAGTATTGTTTCCCAGTCACCCTTATACTCTCTTCCACCTCGTGTTTTTGGGAGCACGTGTTTTGTTCATAACTTAGCCCCTGGGAAAGATAAGTTAGCTCCTCGTGCTCTCAAGTGTGTCTTCCTTGGTTATTCTCGTGTTCAGAAGGGATATCGTTGTTATTCCCCTGATCTTCGTAGGTACCTTATGTCAGCTAACGTCACATTTTTTGAGTCTAAACCTTTCTTTTTCTCTGCTGACCACCATGATATATCTGAGGTCTTACCTATACCGACCTTTGAAAAGTTTACTATAGCTCCTCCTTCACCTTCGACCACAGAAGTTTCACCCATAGCAATCGTTGAGGAGTCTAGTGTTGTTCCTCCTAGATCCCCAGCCGCAGGAACACCACTCTTGACTTATCATCGTCGTCTGCACCCTACATCAAGCCCAACTGGTTCTTGTCCTGCACCTGACCCTGCTCCTACTGCGGACTTGTCTCTTCCTAGTACACCGATTGCACTTCGGAAAGGTATACGGACCACACTTAATCCTAATCCCCATTATGTCGGTTTAAGTTATCATCCTTTGTCATCTCCCCATTATGCTTTTATATCTTCTTTGTCCTCGGTTTCCATCCCTAAGTCTACAGGTGAAGCGTTGTCTCAGCCAGGATGGCGACAAGCTCTGAGTGACGAGATGTCTGCTTTACATACAAGTGGTACTTGGGAGCTTGTTCCTCTTCCTTCAGGTAAATCTATTGTTGGTTATCGTTGAGTTTATGCAGTCAAAGTTGGTCCCGATGGCCAGGTTGATCGACTTAAGGCCCGTCTTGTTGCCAAAGGATATACTCAGATATTTGGGCTCGATTACAGTGATACCTTCTCTCCCGTGGCTAAAGTCGCATCAGTCCGCCTTTTTCTATCCATGGCTGCGGTTCGTCATTGTCCTCTCTATCAGCTGGACATTAAGAATGCCTTTCTTCACGATGATCTTGAGGATGACGTTTATATCGAGCAACCACCTGGTTTTGTTACTCAGGGGGAGTCTCGTGACCTTGTATGTTGCTTGCGTCGATCACTTTATGGTCTAAAACAGTCTCCTCGAGCCTGGTTTGGTAAGTTCAGCACGGTTATCCAGGAGTTTGGCATGACTCGTAGTGAAGCCGATCACTCTGTGTTTTATTGGCACTATGCGTCAAGTCTCTGTATTTATCTGGTAGTCTATGTTGATGATATTGTTATTACTGGCAATGATCAGGATGGTATTACCAATCTGAAGCAGTATCTCTTCCAGCACTTCCAAACTAAGGATCTAGGCAGATGAAGTACTTTCTAGGTATTGAGGTTGGTCAGTCTAGCTCAGGTATTGTTATTTCTCAAAGAAAATATGGCTTAGACATTCTTGAGGAGACATGGATGATAGGTTGCAGACTTGTTGACACTCCGTTGGATCTGAATTCTAAACTTCTGTCAGGACAGGGGGAGCCCCTTAGCGATCCTGCAAGCTATAGGCGGCTGGTTGGTAAATTAAATTATCTCACAGTGACTAGACCCGACATTTCTTATCCTGTGAGTGTTGTAAGTCAGTTTATGAATTCTCCCTGTGATAATCATTGGGATGCAGTTGTCCGCATTATTCGGTATATAAAATCGGCTCCAGGCAAAGGGTTACTGTTTGAGGATCGAGGTCATGAGCAGATCGTTGGATACTCAAATGCTGATTGGGCAGGATCACCTTCTGATAGATGTTCTACGTCTGGATATTGTGTTTTAGTAGGAGGAAATTTGGTATCCTGGAAGAGCAAGAAACAGAATGTCGTTGCTCGGTCTAGTGCAGAAGCAGAATATCGAACAATGGCTATGGCAATATGTGAGCTAGTCTAGACAAAACAATTGCTCAAGGAGTTGAAATTTGGTGAAATCAGTCGGCGATAATCAAGCTGTCATTCATATTGCATCAAATCTGGTGTTCCATGAGAGAACTAAACACATTGAGATTGATTGTCATTTCGTCAGAGAAAAGATACTTTCAGGAGAGATTGCTACAAAGTTTGTGAGGTCGAATGATCAGCTTGCAAATATTTTCATCAAGTCCCTCACTGGTCCTCGTATTGGTTATATATGTAACAAGCTCGGTACATATGATTTGTATGCATCGGCTTGAGGGGGAGTGTTAGTTTACAGATATGTAAATAATGTAGTCTTGTCCCACATTGGAATAGGAGTAATATGTTCTTGTAGAGTATAACTATAAATAAGGACCTCTTGTATTGTATTGAGTATCTAATATCAATAATATATTTTCTCCCGTGCTTTCTCACAGTTGTAAGTCTCAACCTTCCAGGCGTTCGGGCTTATTGTTAAGAGCTGATGCAGATTAAGAGTGATGTACATATTGAGGGATCGACTAGCATTACAAAGATGAAGAATGGAAGCTGTAGATATTAGAGATAAAACCAACATTATGGATGCTTTTTCTGACCTTTAAATCAGAGAATATGATCCTGGGTTTCTCCAAATCTTAATTGAAACTTTGTCCCTTTTTTTTTTCTTTGAGTAGTTAAATTCAAGACCAATGACCAAATTATAATGCCCATTTTTTTGGTCATGGCCTTCATCCATTTGTCTTATATTTTTCTATTGATAACGGTTGTCCACAGTTTGCGTACTTTGGCTAATCCATTGGCTATCTACTAGGCCCTAATGACACAGGCACTAGGTAACTCTATCCACCAAGGCTTAGGCAGGTAGGAAGAATTCACCTAGTATCAAAGTCACTCCAGCTCTTCCATCGCAAGGACATCCCATGTGGGCATTTGGATTATAATAGTGTATAGGACAGCAATAAACTACATATCCTGCAGTGATGTCTAACCAAATTTACTTTCCTCTGTTTCAAGGAATGCTGTTTAGGTCTAAGACTTTCATGTTTTTTAAGCATAAGTCAGTTCCAGCTCTCTCTTGATTGATTTCTTTCAGTTATCCTTCACATTAACTCAAACTAAATACCCTTCTTGTTGAGATGAAATCTGTATGTGGTACTTGAGCTGGCTCAAGCATGAAAAGAGGAGCTTGGTCAAATCAACACCAAGTTGAGCCAGTAGTTCACATGCCGATCCATTTAATTTATACCCCTATCACAAAGCTATTAAACAATTCATAGGAAACTTTAAAGTAACAGATGATGCTTAGATTACATGATTCGTGAGTTTGAACAATTATTTTCATTATGAGTGATACTTTCATGGGATTATTTGTTTGTTTGATATAATGGGCATCTTATGTTTGTTATCCATTTTCCAGTAAGTCCTTTTTTTGTCCTTGGTTTCTTACATGGACTGATTTGGTTTTTGACCGTATAACTGACAATGAGTATTTCTGTCTTCCCTGTTTAGATTGCAGTTGCCCTGGCTGTTGCAGCAATCCCTGAAGGGCTTCCTGCTGTTGTTACAACGTGAGTATGTGAAACCATGTTCTTTGAATTCCTAAGTTGGTGTCTGGAAAAGTTTTATATAAAATATCTGTGTATTTTTCAGTTGGGATACTTGCGTGGATGTCATTATCCTTAATTCTTTCCCCCCAACCAAAAAAAAAATATTCCACCAAAATGTCCATTGGAGCCAAACGTAAACGTCATTCCCCCTTATGGGTTTCAACAAAAAGAGTGAGATCACAGTAGTCCACTGGGCAGAGAATAAACCTTGAAGAACTTTTTACTAGCGTCATGGCTTAAGATTTATCATGTGATCAGCATGCCAACAAAATGAGTTTTGTCTATTGAACTGTGTATTTCTTGTTATCGGCTCCAAAGATAATTCTTGGTTGTTCACTGTTTCTCTGTTTATCTGTTGAGTAAGTGCTTTGCGTATTACATATAGCCATTTTTCTCTTGGTTTAAGTTCTCTGTTCATTCTGATATGTATCCAGAAAGTTGTTGCTTTAAAACATGTTATGTGCTAATAAGGTGTTTCATCTTTCCAACACGTAGGGCAGCACCATTTTAGATAAAAAGGACAGTAAACAGTAACACTGAATTTTGGTTAGGTACATTGCTGATGGAGAAAAGGCTGCAATATTTTCTCATCTCCGTCCTCTTTTTCTAATAACTTTGGACACTTATGCATTGCCCATGATAGTAGTAGAAGATGAAAAACAGTAATTTATCAATTTAGTTAGAAGGTTAACTAACATATAAATGTTAAAAATAACCTAGTACTGAAAAATTAAATGAAAAGGAATCCTTTTTGTTCTTTTTATTATTGAGTTTGTTACCAAATCTTCAGTTTGTTCCTTCAACGCTGGGTATTGATGTTTTTATTTTGAAAACTAAAAGTAATACTACGAGCTAATTTCCTAAGCATGATAAGTAAAATGAGAGTATCCCGACATATTTCTTTCTGTGATGATTAGTGGAAGATGATAATGTCCCTTTGTGTGATAAATTGGAAGTGGTTTAAATAAGAGTTTACAGAAGAAAATAGATTTTGCTCTTGTTGCGATTTTCTTTGGAGAACTTTTTGTTTCCTTAATTTTTCTATTATATCCAGGCCATTACTTTTTGTTTAAATATTTCACCTAATCATGCTTCACTTCCTATCTGAGTTTCAATCTGGTGGAAGACTTTTTATGTGCTAGTGTATTTTTTTGTTATGGCTTTCTCGAACCTCGTAACGCATGCACTGAGAGAGTATTTATCTATTAGAATATTTTCTTTTTTAATTTCAAGATAATATATTAAGTAGTTGAGTAGGACCGGAGGTTGGAGACTGACCTTGGAGTCTAAAGGTTTTAAGTTGAGTAGGACCAAGACCGAGTACTTTGAGTGCAAGTTCAATGACGAAACTGATGGTGCAGGCGTGGACATGAGGCTTGATACACAAGTCATCCCTAAGAGAGTTAGTTTCAAGTACCTTAGGTCTATTATCCAAGGAAATTGGGAGATTGATGAGGATGTTACTCATTGTATTGGAGCAGAGTGGATGAAATAGAGACTCGCATCCAGTGTTTTATGTGATAAGAATGTACCACCTAAACTTAAGGGTAAGTTTTACAGAGTGGTTGTCAGACCTACCATGTTGTACGGAGCAGAGTGTTGGCTAGTCAAGAACTCTCATGTCCAGAAGATGAAAGTAGCGGAAATAAGGATGTTGAGATGGATGTGCGGACATATCAGGATTGATAAGATTAGAAATGAAGATACTCGGGACAAGGTAGGAGTAGCCTCGGTGGAGGACAAGATGCGGGAAGCGAGGCTTAGGTGGTTTGGGCATGTGAAGAGAAGAAGCACAAATACCCCATTGAGCAGGTGTGAGAGGTTGGCCTCGGTTGGTCTAAAGAGGGGTAGAGGTAGGAAAGAAGTACTGAGGAGGTAATAAGGCAGGACTTGGTGTTGCTTCAGCTCACTGAGGACATAACCCTTGATAGGAAGGTTTGGAGGTCGAGAATTAGGGTAGAAGGTTAGTAAGTAGTCGAGTGTGTGTCTTCCATATACCGGTAGTATTAGTAATTAGCCTATAGATTTTTGAGAAGAAGAAAAAGCTTCTTGTATTTCTGTGTATTTCTTACATCCCTAAGCAAATGTATTTATACACTAAGGGTGTGTTTGGTATGATAGAAAACATTTTCCGAAAAATATTTTCCCATTTTATTTTCCTAGATATCACATTTTCCTGAAATTGGAGGAAAATAACTTCCCTAGAAAAAGTTAGGAAAACATTTTTCAAAAACTTCACCTACCCCCACATCTAACCGCAAGCCCCTCCCCCTTCTCTCCCCTAACCCACCTCTCCCACCTCCTCTCTCCAAAAAGGTTTTTTATTCAGATTTCAGTTTTTTTTTCTTTTTCGTCACCACCCATCCTGCTAACCCCTCCTCAAACCACCCTTACGGCAATTTTTTTTTTTTAATATATATTTTTTCAGTTCTGGTTTTTTCATTTTTGAGTTTACTGGTTCGAAATTTTACGAGTTCCAAAGTTATGAGTTCGGAGGTTTATGTATTTGGAAGTTTGCGGGTTTAGAAATTATAGAGTTTACGGGTTCGAAAGTTTAGCGGTTCGGAAGTTTGTTGGTTCGAAATTTTATGGCTATTGTATCTAAATTATTTATGAATACTCTTGAGAAGTTATTTTCCTTAATTTGCATACCAAACACCGGAAAATGAGTAAGACTACTAATTTTCCAAGAAAATATTTTCTTGGAAAACATTTTCCACGGAAAACATTTTCCGTTATACCAAACACACCCTAAGTCCTATGACTATTTTAGGAAGGAAAATAAATTACAATCAATTTACAATCAATCAGAATAAAATCAAATCTCACTTAGAATCAAATCTTTCTCAATCAGAATCAATTCTTTCCTAACAATTAAGTCAATCAACACTCCTCCCCAAGTTGGTGCAAAAATGTCGCACATGCCCAACTTGAAAACCAGTGTATGAAAAGTCTGTTTGTTAAGAAACACATAAGCTAACTGTTTTTCCGATGGCACATGAAACAAACTCAAGACACCAGTTGTAATTTTTTCTTTAATGAAGTGTCGATCAGTTCCTACATGCTTTGTTCGGTCATGCTGGACTGGATTATGAGCTATACCGATAGCAGCCTTATTGTCATAGTACAAGGAAAGTTTTCCTTTTTCCGACGGCCTCAACTCCTCTAGTAGCTTTTGTTGCCAAAACAGTTTGCAAACTCCCTAGGCTATAGCTCTATATTCTGCCTCCGCACTTGATCTAGCAACTACACTTTGCTTTTTGCTTCTCCAAGTAACTAAGTTTCCTCCTACGAGCGTACAGTAACCGGATGTAGATCTTCTTTCATCCAGAGATCCAGCCCAATCTGCGTCTGTAAAGGCTTCTATTTGGAGGTGATCATGTTTGGAGAAAAGTAGACCTTTTCCAGGAGCAGACTTTAGATACCACAAAATGTGAAAGGCAACTTGCATATGAGGATCTTGGGGATCATGCATGAACTGACTCACCAGGCTAACTGAATAGGCTATGTCTGGTCTAGTGTGTGAGAGATAAATGAGTCTTCCAACCAACCTCTGATGTCTCTCCTAATCAACTGACTCTCCAACTCCGCTTTGTAACTTGTGATTGCTTTCAACGGGCGATTCTGCGGGTCTGCAACCTGTCATACCACTTTCTTTCAGGAGATCCAGAATATACTTCCTCTGAGAAATAAAGATTCCTCTTTTTGATCTAGCAACCTCAATTCCCAAGAAGTACTGCAATTTTCCTAGATCCTTGATCTCAAATTCATGTGCCAACAACTTCTTCAATCGGGCCATCTCCTCTTTGTCATCTCATGTCATTACTATGTCATCAACATAAACTATGAGAAGAGTGAGTTTAGCCGTATGATGTCTTATGAAGAGAGTGTGATCATGATTGCTTTGTTGGTAACCAAAGGAGATTATTGCTTTGCAGAATCTGTCAAACCAAGCTCTGGGGGATTGCTTCAGTTCGTACAAGGCTTTCTTCAACCTGTATACCTTTCCTTGACTTTGTGCAGTATCAAATTCAGGAGGAATCTCCATATACACCTCTTCTTCTAAGTCACCATAAAGAAATGCATTCTTCACATCAAACTGTTGCAAGTCCCAATCAAGATTAGCTGCACAAGACAACAACATGGGCAAATGTCTCTTGATAATCCACTCCATAAGTCTGAGCGAATCCCTTAGCCACCAATCTTGCTTTGAATCTTTCAATCGAGCCATCAGCTTTGTGCTTCATAGTGAAGACCCATTTGCAGCCAATCAACTTCTTGTCTGGTGGTGAAGTGACAAGTTCCCAAGTCTCATTTTTTGACCATGCCTTCATTTCTTCAATCATAGCTTGCTTTCATTTAGGATTTGCAAAAGCTTTCCTCTAATTCTGAGGAATAAACACAGAAGAAATAGACAAGGCAAAGGCTCTATAGGAGGGACACAGAGAATTATATGAGACAAATTAGATAAATGGTGTTTGGTGGTGCAAGATCTGACTCCTTTTCTGTGAGCAATAGGTTCATCTAACTCATTAGGAAATGTAGATAACTCACCGGTAGAAGAAGGTTCAGCTTCGGTAGATTGCATGATGACTTCTTCTGCTCTATTTTTCCTTGAGTAAGTTTTCAAATCAGGCCTATCCAAATGCCCAATGGTCTCCCCCTGAATTCTTTCTCCAATTTCACTAGGTAGTGGGAACTAGGTAGAATCACTTCTTCCCCCTTACTGCTCTCCCCCTGAAAAGGTGATGGGGTAATACTGAAATAGGGCTCAGATTCTCGAAAAGTAACATCCATGCTAACAAATGATCTCCTAGAGGGAGGATGATAACATTTGTAACCTTTCTGTGTCAGAGAATACCCAATGAAAATACACTTTATAACTGTAGGATCAAGTTTCCCAGAATTTCTAGTGTGGACAAAGCAAACACACCCAAACACCTTTGGAGGAACAGTATATTCATTCTTACCCTTTAAAGCTTCAAGAGGACTTTGAAAATTGAGGGTTTTAAGTGGCATTGTGTTAATAAGATAGGTAGCCACAAGAATAGCATCCCCCAATAAGGTTTTGGTAGATGCATGGTGAATATAAGAGATCATGCTACTTCTAACACATGCCTATTTTTTCTTTCAGCGACCCCATGTTGTGCACGAGTATAAAGACAACTAGTGTGATGGACTATCCCATTGGACTCCAAATAAGCACCAAATCTTTTATCCATGTATTCGCTGCCATTGTCAGTTCTCAAGATTTTTGTTTTGGCATCAAACTGAGTACAAATCATTTTATGAAATGATTGAAAATAAGAAAAAACTTCACTTTTGGCTTTTATCAAATATACCCAAGTCATCCTAGTGCAGCAATCAATAAAAGTAACAAGCCATCGACTACTAGACAAAGAAACAGTTTGTGTAGGACCCCATAAATCATAATGAATAGTCATAAATGGAGTTGTGCTTCTATTATCACTCACAGGATAAGAGTTTCTAGTATGCTTGACATATTCACGCGCATCACAGAAAAAAGATTCAAATTGAGTCCTTGAAAACAAATCAGGATATAACCTCTTCATAACAAAGAATGATGGGTGTCCTAACCGTCTATGCCGCTGTATTATTTCTTGGTTGACATCCTTACCTTCCCCAAAAAAGGCCTGACCAGAGTTTTGAATTCCATCTAATATATACAAGTCATCATGCAATCTACTACTGCCAATCCTTTTCCCTGTTTGAATATCTTGAAAAATACAATGATCGGGAAAGAACTCGATTTTACAGTTTAGAGCTTTGGTGATGACACTAAGAGATAAAAGATTGACAGGGAACTCATGGACATGGAGCATGGATGATAGTTTAATATTAGAAGTACAAACGACAGAACCTGTTCCAGAGATAGATGTTAAAGACCCATTGACTATTTTAACATTATCTCCTTTGAGACACGGCGAATAGTTTTGAATGCCTTTAGAAGAGCCTGTTATGTGTCTATTTGCACCAGAATCAACAATCCAATAATTAAGGTGAGTAGCAAAGGCCGTACCTGATTGCACATAATTGGATGTGGCAACATTAGCGGAGTCAAGTTTGGCTCGGAGGCGACGAAGAAGCTGAATTTCATCCGAAGATAATTTCTCCAGAAATCGTCTCCTTGAATGTCTCTATATTTTCTGCCCAATCAGAAGGAAATCTGAAGAAAATTGCTCAAAATAATTTGTCTCGCCGGAAAACAAATCTGTCTCGACGGAACCAAAAGGGGTTTGTGTCGTGGACAGCCACCAACAGTGAGAAAAGTCGACCTCTTTGATAAAAACGGAATCCTAGTGCTGCGAGGAAGATAACTCACCTCAAAATGGCAGCAATGACTCTGATACCATGTAGATTTTTTAGAAGAAGAAAAGGCTTCTTATATTTCTGTGTATTTCTTACATCCCTAAGCAAAGGTATTTATACACTAAGTCCTATGACTATTTTAGGAAGGAAAATAAATTACAATCAATTTACAATCAATTACAATTAATCTGAATAAAATCAAATCTGACTCAGAATCAAATCTTTCCTAATAATTAAGTCAGTCAACATAGCCTTGTATTCGGTTTTTGACAGATATGATTACTACATCTTGCTGTTGATACTGCTTGTTCTCTTATTATCTTGCTGTTGATACTGCTTATTCTCTTATTATCTTGTTATTGTTACTGCTTGTTTTCTTATTGTTAATTTACATCATGTATATAGTGTAGTATTGTCCCACATTGGTAGAGGAGTAGTATGTCCTTGTATAATATAGCTATAAATAAGGACCTCTTGTGTAGTATTATTCATTCATCCAATATCAATAACATATTTTCTCCCGTGCCTTCTCACATGGTATCAGAGCAATTGTGAGAGACTTATCGCTGTGCATAAATTCCAGCGATTCCGGGAAAGAGAAATCAGTATTTTTTTTAAGGTTGTTTTCTATCTGCTTCATTTCTGTCAGTGTTGTGCAAAATCCAACACTACCACAAGAGTCGTCACTGTCCGGCGACCAAACCCCAGTGAACAACTCCGGCAGAAGCAGCCCCACGCGCCTCCACGCGCCACCATAAGCTCACGCGCCGGCGCGTACGACCACTTCCGGCCATTTTTTGAAAATCTTCCTTCAGAACA